ATCAAACGCTATTCACCCCCCCTCTAGCGTTGGTCTATTATTCTAACAATTGGTATCAGAGCCTAACTCGCGTCCAAACTTAACCGTTTGAGAGTAAAGCGATCATGGGTTCTTCTTCTAGAAATCTTTATGCAGGAATTGGAGAAGGTCAATCAACCTCTAGGCCACCGCTCTTTGATGGCACCAACTACACATATTGGAAAGAGCGGATGAGAATTTATATCCGCTCAACCAACTTTCAGTTGTGGTTGGTCATCAAGAATGGCGAGGAAATTCCAATGAAGAAGGTCGGTGAAAAACTTGTCCCAAAGACCGAGGACGAATTTGATGCTGAGGACATCAAAAAGGTGGAGAACTACGCCAAGGCAATCAACATGTTGTACTGTGCTGTCAATCCTGATGACTATCGCAAGATCTCTTGCTGCACCACTGCAAAAGAAATGTGGGACAAGCTAGAGGTCACATATGAAGGTACGGACCAAGTTCGGGAAGCCAAAATTGACTTCCTAACGCAGGAGTACGAGATGTTCAGGATGAAGGAAGGCGAAAAGATCGATGACATGTTCGATCGGTTCTCAAAGATCATCAACGACCTTCATGCACTCAAGAAGACTTACGCCAACAAGGATCTTGTGAGAAAAATCCTGCGAAGTCTCACACCCGAATGGAGATCAAAGGCAGATGCAATCTATGAATCCATCGGAGTCTCAAATGTCACCATCGACGGGCTGAGAGGTAACCTCAAAACTTATGAATCTACTATTCTAACCCCGTCTTTGGATGAACAAAAGAAGAAGGGAATAGCACTGAAAGTAACCAAGGAGACCGTGGAAGAAGACTCAAGCGATAATGACAATAAGTTCGGTCTCGTCATCAAGAAATTCCACAAATTTATGAAGAAGGAATTTGAGCGCAAAGGAAGAAAGCACGACGGTCCCCCAAAGTGCTATGGCTGTGGCGAGATAGGCCACATCATGCCAAGATGTCCAAAAGGCAAAAGCAGCAAGGACAAACCTGGTTTCAAAAAGCAACGAGCCTATATCTCATGGGGTGGCGAATCCGGCGACGAGTCAACTGATCAAGAAGAGGAGGAAGCCACCAACCTCTGCCTCATGGCGCATGAAGATCAAACCGACGACATTCAAGAGGTATGTACCATTTCTTCCGACTCTTATACTTTTGAAGAAATGCAAGAAGCACTTCATGAGCTTTATGACGAATTTGTTAGCGCTTCTAAAACCAATAAATCATTAAAGAAACGTCTTTCAACCCTTGAAAATGATTTTGAAAAGCTGGAAAAAGATAATGAAAGGCTGAAACAAGAAAACAAATTTTATGGCAAAAGAATCGCTGACAAACCAGATAGTTCTTCAAGTGAATGTGAATCTTGCAAAACTTTAAAAGAAAAGGTTGCAAAACTTGAGAGTACGGTTAAGAAGTTTAATACACCACACAAAGATCTTAATTTACTCCTAGACACTATGCATTTTTCTAAGGAAGGAATAGGTTTTGATAAAAATGAATCTAAGGATAAAAACGTTGAGCAAACACCTAGACAACCTCCTAAGGCTCAACATAAGAAAGTTAAAAATCAGGAAAATAGAAAATCTAGTCAACCTAGGGACACTAGACCACCTAGACAAAAACCTAGGAATGAAAATATGCATGCTAGACAACCTAGGAAAAATCATCAAAATGATTTTGTGCATAAAAATAATTTTTCAAATAGACAAAATAAATCTAGGCCACCTAGAAGGGAAAATTTTCAAAAACCAATGTTCTCTCAAAACAGGATGAATATGGTTAGCCCCCCTAGCAACTACTACCAACCTAGGAGGATGCACAACCCAAACGTAGTTTGCCATTATTGCAATAGGGTAGGACATATAGCTCCCGTTTGCTTTACTAGGCATAGGCATTGGGCACAAAATGAATCACACTACCACTTTGCACCTAACACTCAAGGACCCAAAAAGACTTGGGTACCTAAATCTTATTAAATCATCTTTGTAGGTATGCTTGAAAGCGTCAAGTGTACTGTGGTACCTTGATAGCGGATGCTCCAAGCACATGACCGGAGATGCATCCAAGTTCCTACAAATCGAACCCGCTAAAGGAGGAAACGTAGTCTTTGGAGATAATAGCAAGGGAAAAATTATCGGCGTCGGTTCAGTAGAGAGAATCCATGTTGATGACGATGAAGACAACACGGGAATATACATCAACACACAGCCGCAAACTGAGGAAATACCTCAAACGACTAACCAAGGTGAGGAAGAAAATTAGGAGGAAGAAGAAGAACAAGAGGAACACGAAGAAGAAGCAATCGAGCTTCCCATAGCATGGAGAACAAAAGAGAACCATCCGCTTGACCATGTAATCGGTGGCATCAACCGTGGGGTAAGTACTCGCAACTCACTTAGGGATACCGTAGCACACATGGCTTTTGTTTCTCAAATTGAACCTACAACCATTTCCGAAGCAATAAACGATGAACATTGGACCTTGGCTATGCAAGAGGAGCTAAACCAATTCAAACGGAATGACGTTTGGGAATTGGTGCCAAGACCCGATGATCGTACGATTATTGGTACGAAATGGGTGTTCCGTAACAAACTAGATGAAAATGGAATAATCACTAGAAACAAAGCTAGGCTCGTAGCTAAAGGCTACAATCAAGAAGAAGGCATTGATTTCGAAGAAACTTATGCACCTGTAGCACGTTTAGAAGCTATTCGTTTACTTCTTGCTTTTGCTTCGTCTATGGATTTTAAACTTTATCAAATGGATGTTAAGAGTGCCTTCCTCAATGGTTTTATTCAAGAGGAAGTGTATGTTGACCAGCCCCCGGGGTTTGAAGACTTTGAGTTTCCCGACCATGTCTTCAAACTCAAGAAAGCGCTCTACGGTCTTAAACAAGCACCCCNTAAAAACAATAACATCCTTTTGGTTCAAGTTTATGTAGACGATATTATATTCGGTGCTACTAACGAGTCTTTGTGCAAGGAATTCTCAATGTTAATGACAAGCGAATTTGAGATGTCCATGATGGGTGAGCTTACATTCTTTTTGGGACTCCAAGTCAAGCAAATGAAAGATGGCACATTCATTTGCCAAACAAAATACTGCAAGGAGCTCCTAAAACGATTCGAAATGGAAAATGCCAAAGTAATGGCGACCCCGATGAGCACGTCCGACCACCTAGACAAAGACGAAAAGGGTAAGGAAGTTGAAGTCAAAAAGTATCGAGGTATGATCGGATCCCTTCTCTACCTTACCGCTAGTAGGCCGGATATCATGTTTAGCGTATGCCTTTGCGCAAGGTATCAATCATGCCCGAAGGAATCGCACTCAACGGCGGTGAAACGGATCATGAAATACCTTGTAGGCACGGTTAACGTTGGACTGTGGTATCCTAAAGGCTCTTCGTGTCATCTCGTTGGTTACTCCGACTCGGACTTTGCCGGTTGCAAATTGGACCGTAAAAGTACGAGTGGGACTTGCCACTTACTTGGTAGCTCTTTAGTTTCATGGTTCAGTAAGAAACAAGTCAGTGTTGCGTTATCCACAACCGAAGCGGAATACGTTGCCGCCGGTAGTTGTTGTGCTCAAATCCTTTGGATGAAGCAACAACTCGTGGACTATGGCCTTAGTATCAGTCACGTTCCTCTTCGTTGTGACAATACTAGCGCCATTAGCTTGACGAAGAACCCTGTTCTTCACTCAAGGACGAAACACATTGACATTAGGCACCATTTCATTAGAGATCATGTTCTCAAAGGTGATGTCGAAATTGAGTTTGTTGAAACACACAACCAATTAGCCGACATTTTCACAAAACCTTTAGAGAAAGAGTCGTTCTTCCGCATTCGTAGCGAACTCGGAATCCTTGACTCCACGATGATCTAATTTGTGCATTTTATCACTCTATTATCTTTGATTAAACGTTTACTAACTTGAGCATCGGAGGGTTTTATAACTCTTTTTTGCAGGGACGGATCAAAGTGAAGAATTCTGGAAATCAGGGGGAACCAGCGATGGGTAGGTTGTACCATCGCTGGGAGGGAAGTGTTCCTTTTTTTCAGAACCTCTCTTACCATCGATGGGTACCTTCTCCCATCGATGTGTAATTGACTCTATTTTTTTTAAACTTTTAACGGATTTCTAGAAACACCTTACCCATCGATGGGTATTTCATCCCATCGCTGGGTGAAGGACTTTTGTCAAAAAAAAAATTTCACCCTACCCATCGATGGATCTTTTATCCCATCGCTGGGTGAATGATTTTAGTTTCAAAATTTTTTTCCAGAACCTCCCTACCCATCGATGGGAACTTTATCCCATCGCTGGGTGTTTGAGACTATTTTTTTTTAAAGCGCTCTATCGGATTTCCAGAAGCCACCTTCCCATCGATGGGTGAGGTTTACCATCGCTGGGAAGGCAGCCATTGTTTTCTCCTTCGCTTTCCAGTGTCGTCCTTCCCATCGATGGGAACTCCTACCCATCGCTGGGAAGCCTGCAGCAATTCAAATTTTTTAACCGTTGGGCACCAGATTTAATGCCCAACAGTCATTTTTTTTGAATTCCATCCGTTTTATCCCCCTTCCCTATATATATACACCATATTTGGTCATTCCTAATCACATTTAACATCCATACTTCATTCCTCTATCCTATCTTTGCATCATTCATCACTTTTTCTTCATAATCTAGTCAACAATGACGGGTGGAAAGTCCAAGAGCAAAGCTTCCAAGAAGAAGGTCACCGCCGAGGCCACAACCTCTGCGCCTCAACCCTTCCCATACCTGGACGGATCCTTCTTGGAGTTCGGCTCAGAGGAAGAACTCACTCGCTTCATAACCCACTTCGCCAAACGCCGCATCTCACCACCAAGGGTGCTGCCCGAGTTGTTCCCTCAGCAGAAGGGATACCACGACCTCGACGATCAACTCAAGGAGTCGGGTTTGTGGCCCTTCGTCTCCAAGAGCCGCACCTCGTTCAATCCCGCCTATGTCCGGGCCTTCTACTCCAATTTCCGCCGAGACGGGGACACCATCTGGAGCAGCATCAATCTCTATCACTTAGAGTTTGATTTGGCTACCTTTGCTCGGGTCGCAGGCTTGCCCACTCGCGGTGACGACATCGCAACTTATGGTGGCGATGATTGGATTCTAAACAACGAGGCGGTGGTCATCCAAGAGCTTGGAATCACCAACCTCGTCCGTCACAGCGGCGCACCAACCATCCACTCCGCCCCACCGGAAAAGCGTCTTCTCCTATACATCCTCACTCGGATTCTTCGCCCCCGGGACAGTAGCCACACCAGTCTCTCCAACGAGGATCTCAAGGCGGTTCATGCTATCATCCATGGCGCCTCGATCAATTGGGAAAAATACGTCATTATTCACATGGCGGATTGCGCCTCCATCACCACCAAGCGGAGCTTGCCATACGCCTTCCTCGTCATGGACCTCATTGTTGCCTCCGACATCCATATCGCCGGCCCGGACACAAAGATGACGAAGATTTGGATCATCCAAGACAACACCTTCCGGAAGAAGTCCGGTGACGAAACCGGCACAGGACCAAGTCGAGCTCCAACCCCCGCTCCCGCCAAGGCCTCCTTACAGTCCATAGCCGATACCCTGAATCGGCTAACCATCACCGTGGATGGCATGGGCCAGTACCTGGAAAGGATGGACTGGTCGCTGCAGCGCCAACACCACGACATGAGGGCGTACTTCCGCGGCATCAACTACGTCCCGCCGCCCTTTGACAACACCTTCCTCGGTCAAAACTATGAAGGCGAGGACGAGGAGGATGACTCCTATGCTCCGTCTTCCTCCCCCGACGAGGCCGACTTTGAGGACGCGGTCGACGGGGATCCCATGGACGTCGAGGACGACAAAGAAGACGATGACGCCGAGGACGAGGACGCCGCTGCCTAGACTCTTCTCTCTCTCCTTTCCCTACTTTAATTGCATTTTTTATTTCAATTCCGTTGTACTCCGCATTTTCTCCGTTATTAATGAATAAAAGTTCACTTTTAAATTCTAAAGTTTACTTTTAATTCTTTTTGTTAATGTCAAAAGGGGGAAGATATCCAGGTTATGCATAAATTGAGGGGGAATTTTTTAAAAATCAAATGTCATCTTTTAAGGGGGAACACTTTTTAAAAGTCTCAAAATTATCCTCCTATGCATAACCTCGTCTCGTTTGCCATTATCAAAAAGGGGGAAATGGTTGAAACACGGGTTTGTCACGTTTTCATACTAAAGCCGTGTTTGTTTATGACAGGTTTTGATAATGCCAAACCGCCGTGACCAAGTCAAACATTGAATATACAAGGCGAAGAATGAAGAGTAGAAGAAGAGCCAAAAGAAGACCAAGAACGAAGACCTTAGTCTTAGTGTCGTTGAGTCGGTCTTCATTGTGATCAAGACCGACCCAATCTTTACACCTCGGCTCTTTAGGCTAAAATCTCTCATTGCATTTCTTACATCATAAAAATGTTTTTCAAACTTGTTTAAGTCATTAAAAACACTTGGTGTTCGCCCAAACCAAAAACCAAGCAATCCAGCGTTCGGGCTTCAGAAACCGGCGTTTGGCTCTCGGTTATCGGCTTTGGTTTTTGGCGTCCAAACCAACCGAGTGGTTTTCAACTTTTTGTGATTGTTTTTCACTCTTTGGCATGTTTAAACGGTTCTCCAACAAAAACACTTTGAAAACCATCGTTCGCTTTTGCTCGTTTGACAAAAATCATTCAAAACGGCATAAACTTGGCTAGCCGTGGTTTTTACTCAAATGACGTGGTTTTTAAAGTAACTCACTTGATTTCTTAGCCAAATACATCAAATAAGTGTTTCAAACACTCGGTTTTTATTTTGGAGAACTTTGGATTTTTCGGTTGGTTTTTGCATCGGTTGGCTAGGCCATGGTTAAGGCAAAGACTATGGGCTTTTGGCTAACCACCCACCCAGCGATGGGAAGATCTTCCCATCGATGGGTAAGCGGTCCCTAAGCCAAACCAACTTCCAGAATCATGCCAAACAGCGATGGGGAGTTCTACCCATCGCTGTTAAAGCCTTGGTGCAAAATTAACACAAGGTAGAACAACCTTACCCAGCGATGGGAAACCTATCCCATCGATGGGAACCCGGCGATGGTAAGGTTAAACCATCGATGGGAAGGCATGACCGTTGAAAGTCATTTAAGGTTGATTCTTTCCTTGTTTGGAAGTCAACCTCCCACCCAGCGATGGGAAGCTTGTACCCATCGATGGGTAGGTGACCGTTGGCTTCAAAACTAAAGGAAAATTGGCTTACCAGCGATGGTTGAGTCTAAACATCGATGGGAAGCCAATATCCTGCAGATTCTCATTTAATCAACCCCATAAATCAAGCCAATCACCCCTTTAATGCATTGGTCCGTTGGAGCCTATTTTGGCGCTATAAAAAGGGGTGTTTAGGTCTGTTTTTCTCACTAATTCACTTCACAACATTCATACTTTCATTGCATTCAAATACCATCATTTTCCATAGCTTCCTAGAGCCATTTTGTGTGAAGGTTGAGTTGTTCTTGAGCGTACTTAGTTTACTCATAATCTACTCTATAAGAGAGCCTCGTTCTTGAGTGTATTCGTGTTCTTCGACACTTTGAGAGAAAGTATTTCTCTCGGTAGATTCAAAGGAAGGGCTGTTTCCTTTGAAGGACTCGTTGAGGTTCGTGTAACTCGAACTCTCAAGTTGTAACGGTTTGTTAAGCACCCGCAAGCTTAACGAGATAGTAGTGTAGCTCGAGAGAGTCTCTCGGGAGGCTGGATTAGCCACAAGTTGTGGTGAACCAGGGTAAAATTCGGTGTGCCTCTTACTCTTCTCTTTACTTCTCTTTTAATTTTTTAATTCCTGCGATTTCTACGATCAAACGCTATTCACCCCCCCTCTAGCGTTGGTCTATTATTCTAACAGTTATCTATTGCTTGTTGTCTGTTTCATATGGTTTTTTTGCCACTGTTGTTTATAATAGGAATAGAATACTCTTTTGTAACAATAGTCTATGAATTAAGGGTAGAACTGTTTTTGAAGTTGCAAGAAACAATCATCTATTATTAGTAGTCGGTTTCATTAAAAAATATAGTTTTTATTGCCACAGTTGTCAATAATTAGTTAAGACTACTATTTCTTAACAATAGTCTGGTTTCTCAGTGTATAACTGTTTTTAAACTTATAAGAAATAGTAATGTATTGTTAGTTGTATGTTTCATATGGTTTTTTTGCAGAATTGTTTATTATAAGAATACAAGACCCCCTTGTAACAGTAGTTTATATAGCGTAGAACTGCTTTTGAAATTCAAAGAAACCGTAATCTATTATAAGTTGTCTATAATAAATTAAGAATACCCTTTTTAATCAATAGCTTGACTATTAAGCCTAGAACTATTTTCAAAGTCTTGAGAAACCGTATTGTATTACTAGTAGTATGTGTTACATCGTTTTTTTTCACGGTTATCTATAATAAGTAAAGGAAACTGTTTTTAAGAAAATTGTGCGTAATAAGCGTACAACTGTTTTTAAAGTCCTGAGAAATAGTAATCTAATACCAATTGTCTGTGAGATATGATTTTTTTGGCAGAGTTGTTTAAAATAAGTTAAGAATACTCGTTTTAAACAGTAGTCTAGCTCTTAAAAGCCTAGAACTATTTTAAAAGTTCAGAGAAACTGTAATAATTTTTACATTGAAACGCTCTCTAACTTTAGTTTCATACTTATGAGCAAAATTTATACAACAATCAAATAACCGTTGTTTTAAAGAATTATATGGACATGAAAAAATAAACACTTCCATTGAAACGAAAGAAAAAGTACATGGACAAGCTGGGTAGTGTCCCGCTACACACAAAGGGAATTGGGAACCCATACAATCAGTCAATCTCACATCATAATACTAAAAAACAATTAGAAGATGACGAGATGCAAATAGAATGTATGACCCAAGGTTTAATGAGTATCGAATATGACCCAAGGTTTAATGGCGAGATACAAAAGTCTAAATCAAACTTTAAATAAATAGAGTATCGAATACAAATTCAACATTATAGATTCAGAGTGTTAAAAGAAATAAAAATTTTAGGGATATAGCAAAATTGTACCCCATTTATATACCACACACTTCTTTATGTGGATAAGAAGAAAGAGTGGTGAATAAAAATTTTATAATTAGTGTGGTGATGTACAAATGAGATATACTTTTGATGTACCCAGTTGGTTCCATGGTGTTGGCTAATATTTTGGCAAAATAGAATCCCATATTTGTTAGGTGTTTTACTAGGTAGAAACCTCTATTTGTTAGGAGAGGTTTATTTTATTCAGACTTCTAGAGTTGCTGCAGTTTTCGCGTGTGACACAGAAGATGCTACAGCACGATGCTGCAACACACTGTTCGGGATCAGAGGTCTGAGCACGGGATTTTAAGTTGCAATTTGAATTAGAGACCTATTGGGATTGTGATTACATGATAATAACTCCAGCTGTACATGCTAAGGAATCCCAACTCTTTAGGCCACTTGTGGATCAAGATTAAGGAAGTAGAGTTCAAGCCAACTTCTACTATCCTATTCCTACTATGGTTGTGTTAAGAGGAGCCTATAAAAATGCAGCAGGTCCCTGGGAATTACTTGGAGCGATTGAGAGGGAAAACAAAGAATATACGCTGATGTAGAGCATTCCCGTCGCGTCCCGGAGCTTCCCTTGCGTGAAGAAAGATACGATCTACATGAAGGAGTCCTACAATGAAAAACAGATCGTGACAACCAGGAGGTGGACAAGAGCTTAAGGAGAAGGGCTGCCAACACGTTTGTCCTCGTGATCTCGGTGGAGATGTGATAGCCAAAGCGGATCTGAACAGAGTTCGGGTTAGAAATCCTAGATTAGAAGTTTTGTCATAACAATTCGGAGAAGTGTGTCTCATCATGTTGTTGTGTATCGGTGTAACTTGCATCTAGTGATTTAGTGGAGGGCTATTACACGGACGTGGGCCCCGCAGACTAGGAGAATTTGCTCCGAACTGCGTAAACATATCTGGTGTTATTTTTTTACGCATTTTATAGTTACAGCATTCTGCCCAGTAGGCGTTGTAACACCCTCTGCATCATCTGCTTCTGTCTGTGTGTGCTTGTGACAGAGAAGTGTTATAGCACACTGTCTGTCATCTATTAATGTGACAGTGATGCAGCGTCTTCTCTGCAGCATAGTTCGATGATTTGTTTGCATAGCTCTTAATTGGTGATTTCCGCTGCGCCCTCACGAACTTACATACCCTAGCATTACCGTAAAAAAAATTCAACATCACATAAATAGTAACTCCACAATAAAGCTTTGCATTAAATCATAGGTTGTTCCTCTGCATTCCATCTCACCGACCTATCTAAAATTTGGATGCTAACACCATAAAAACAAAAAAGTACTGGGAGGATGCTCTTGTTGTTCTGCTACACATATTATTTGGAAAGAGTTTTATCAAAATTTATGATCTATAGTGTATAAAACTGTTCCATAGAGTTTTTTACTAATTACAAAATTTTGTCATTTTAAATTTAAAATGAACACTTATCATGCTACGCACAATGTGCATGTATGAACCTAGTACTTAAATATTGAACTTCAAACACACATTTAGAATTATGCTTCCATTCTATGAAAGTATGAAAATTAAAAAGGGAACATAGTAATGAGAAATGAACCGCCAAAACATATATTAGAGAAACTGTTAGAATAAAAGCTCAACGCTAGAGGGGGGTGAATAACGTTTAAAACAAAATCGCAGGAAATTAAAAACGAGAGCGTTAAAGTGAAGAGCGTAAGGAAGGAGCACACCGAATTTTATCCTGGTTCACCACAACGTGTGGCTAATCCAGCCTCCCGAGAGACTCTCTTGAGCTACACTAACTCCGTTAAGCTTAAGGGTGCTTAACAAACCGATACAACTTGAGAACCCGAGTCACACGAGCCTCAACGCCTTTGCTCGGAGATACCACACTCCAAGACTTCTCACGAAGGAACAAAGAACTTCCTTCGAGTTTTCAACAAAGGAACAACCTCCCTTAAAGTGTATAACAACACTTAAACACTCAGGAAT